ATATATTTATTTAAAAATCAAATTTTAACAGATTCCCATTCCGATCGGAAGGAACAATACATGTTATAATAATACTATCTATGTGAGAGCTCAAGAATAAAATTTCATCTAAAAGAATGTAATGTATTTGTTGTTGATTTTTTTCCCTTATGACGACCGACTTTTTTCTTCTTTATGAAAAGAAAATCAACGCCTATCTGTGAAGACTTTTTTAAAGTATTCAAGTTAAAAAGGCATACGCTTTAATTCTCAAATTTTACAGTAGGATACGATGTTTTTTTTTTTTTGTTATTAATAATGCTCTTCTTTTATTATTAAATTTTAATAAACTCTTATTAAAGTATTTTAAAATATAGAATTTTTTATTTCAATAAAAAGTCATCTTCCTGTTTGTCGCCCAGCAATTCTATTAATGCGGTTGGAATAATTAGCAGTGCTATGGCTTCATTGCGAACTGGAGAAGTAGATAAGTTGTTGATCCCATAATTCATAAACAGTTCTCCTATCCGCATTTTATAGAAGTTTAATAAAGCGTCCCATATCGGTTTGAAAACGAAACCGTCTTGAATCTGCACCAAATGGCCACATACCGCACATAAGCTTTAAATCAAACCATATCCAAAGATGACAAAGACAAAGCATTCGAATGTAAGGAAATACGTTCGCCAATGGATTATGTAAAATTCTATGAAAAAGCAACTGACGTACGCGAAGAATACTCTCTTAGACAAATGGAGATTATGCAAAATGCGTTCCCGAAAATCAACTTTGATCCATGCTACGTGATTACGAATAAAAATATCTACTGCATACAATTCAAGTAAGTTTAGTTGAATAATTTTCACTTAACAAAGGATGGCTTTTTTATTAAAAGAATTTTGTTGTTTTGTTGGGTTTTACAGAAAGGAACCTTTTGCGATATTTTTGGATGCCGCATTAGCTGGAGAATGGACTCAATGTCGTGAGTTTTGCAATACGTTCGACCCGACTTATGAGATGTGCATAGAATTTGCTGGTGATTACTTACTTCGGCGTAGAAAAATTCTTCAAGCATTGTTGACGTATAATGCGACACGCATTTAACCCATACGGACCGCTTTAAAGTTGGCAATGTTCGGCCATACGACTGCTCTTATGCATCTATGTGCAATGGCTCTTAAGCTCATATATATCCTTAAATCGAGGTACTTTTGCCATCCTGTCATTAAAACTTTGCTACCAGATATAACCTATCGACACCCGGCCTATTTTGCCACCTACGCCACAAAGTTATTCTGGCTATATTAGTTTAGTTTCCGAGGGTCTTTCTTGTAGCGATTACGTCTATGGAGAGGATGATTCCTTGAGTAATCCACAAATGTCGCCTTCGTCTCAGTTTCATTTAGCGAATTTACTCTTAAATACATTAGCTGAGAAAGCAGTTAACGATAAAAATTGTATGCCCTTGTGGTAAGAATATAATCTTAAAACATGTTGTATTGTGGTTTGGTTTAATCTAAAATTTTAAAAATATTTTCTGATTACCAATGCTAAATATCACACTAACATGTCAAGTATTGTGTTATGTTAAAGCGGTTTGTTCTCATCTGCTTTGGTTTTGGCAAAAATTCGCGGAGTGTGCATCGACACCTTTTTAGCACTGGCAAACTTGGTGGGTCAAGAATTTGGTAAATTACAGTTTTCCTGGTGCGACATGCGGAAGCAATAAATATTTTCGGCCTATGAAGGTGAAGGTGTCAGGTCTAAAGCTGAAAATATGTATTCAACTTAATCCTGATCCGTAGGCGTGTTTTTATATCGAATTCTAGCACTATGTGTCTCACAGATTCACAGTCAGAAATTAACCCCGTGGACAGGAAGGACCCAACCGACACAATATTAGTGGCAGAATTGCGTTGATGCGTATCGCATACCACAAACCATTATAGAACAATATCGTACGTGATAATTTCTTTATGAGGCGTAACCTGAACAACCGCGTACGGATTACGACTAAAGTCAAAAACGCGTCTCTTCTAAATATTGAAATTTCAAGTTTCCTCTATTGTATTAGTATTCTTGTGCATTGACTCTATCCAGGAATTGGCCTCAGGAACCCAAAAAATTCATAGGCTCCCGGGATAGACCAAAAGTTTGCATATCATTTATTCCCGCCTATCTGTTTGTCTTGCCATTATTAGCGTTGTCAATTATAAAAAATATGTTGGAATATAAAGATCTTCTAGAGTTATTTACACTTATGCAAGCCTTATTCATATCAAACACCAAGGGCTACAAAATGCTTCATCCGATTTAGCTAGTTTTTGAACTTAGAGAATTATTTTAAGTCAAATTGAACTGAAATCTCTAAAATGTTGAACTCGTAATTCAGGAAAAGGTATAATAATTGATTTTTTATTTATTGCGAGTGTATTTGACTGTTATTTTCTTGTTCTCGGGCTGATGCACACACACAATTTGGTATTATGTCAAAGCTCGAATGAAGCCAAGAACACTGAGTTATTTGTGTTTGGCTCGAATCACTTCGGCCAACTTGGCTTGGGCCCTCGCAAATTAGGGCAAACGAATGAACCGCACACTACTCCGGCGGAAGACGAATCAGATAGTTATATATATATAGCTACGTACACCGTATATATATATATATTAAGAATTATAAAGAGTATTTACCGCTCACAGATTAGCAGGAAGGATTGTTTAGAATGAAAAGGCCTTTGTTCGCCACCGTTGCAGTAAAGATTCGTCAGTTAGGTGCTCTTATAACTATCCTAAGAAATTCTGGATTAATTTCAATCGAAAGACTGTCAAACAGCGAAATTCCGGATCGAAAGTATATAAAATGTAATTAGGCAGTCTTAATAGCGATATCACGATACATAATCGCGGCTTAAATAAAACCTCAGAACCATTTGCCAAAGTTCTCAGATTGATTGAAAATTTTTTTCACAACTTACCTAGAGTCTCGTGTTTAAACTCGCGGACGATTTCTATCGTACGATTTTATCAGATCGCGGAAAACTTGCAGTTCGTCCTTCTTGTCAAACACATATTAATAAACATAGCAAAAATATAAATGGATTGAAACAAACACTTCAATATCTCGATATCACAGACATCATAGGCAAACACCTATTAGGTTTCCTAAGGATTTGAAAATCAATTCATACACGTGACCGACAATGTAATCAGATTGCAAACAAAAATATATATATTTTATCAGTCATACAGCCAAATAGTGACTTAGATTCTTAGCTTACTTTAATCCAAGAGTTCATTTCATTAGGATAAATACAATAATAATTATATTGGTAGTATTAATAATGATAATAGTAAATTGATTCTACTTTAGTTTTTTTACCGAAATTGATTTGATCGGTGAGGTCATGTTCATGCAAAGTTTAGTATCACTTTTCTGATTCCAAGCATCGTCACCTTGGTGTATCAATTCATTTTCGTTTAGTTTTACGCCAGTGAGCCTTAGTTTGCGAGGAAACATGTGACGAGATCGAACAGCAACACCTAACGCTGCTTTGAGTTCCACAAAGGTTTCGTTCGATTTGCATTTTTTGCTTTTCTCATGTACGCCACTTTTAAAAGAGAGAATAAATTTAAGTAACACAAGTAATATATTATATGCATATCTACCATCGCCCTAGATGAAAGACTCGTGGTTCCTTAACCATCATAACAAGTAATTGTCCGAGTGGGCATTTCTGGGACAGCGAGTCTAGCGAAATATCATAGTTGTAATCATTTTTGTAGCAAAAATATTCAGCACATCGTCGTATAGAATTCCAAGTTGTTCGATTAAAAGCAAAACCCATATTAGTTGCAGAGCTGCTCCAAGGCATTACTTCTACCTCCGGTGACCTCTGTTATTAATAATGTAATGAAATTATAATGTTTTGTTTTTAAATTTCAATTGAAAAGATTTTTTATTGCGTTCGACTTAGGTACTAAAAGTAAGAAACGAAAAACGAAAGCTAAACAGACACCTTGTCCAGGGGAATGCTTTGGTGTTGTCGCTCGAGTGCAAGGACATATCTTTTGGCTCTTCAATTGCTGATCTCTTCATTATTATTTCTGCTTGAGACACATTGGAGTGATTGTTAAATGGGCAGAATTGGTTTACAGCGAGTATAAATCGTTGCTAGGGCATCTGAAGCTACTCGTACACAGACGCTACAGATGCACATATTTCGTTAATTTGCAAAGATTTTAAAGTGTAAGGCTCTATGATATAGATCATAATAGAGATGAATTTCAAAGAAATAAAATATGTCATGACATAACCTCAACAATGCAAATGAAAGTGAGGCACCAAAAAAAAAGCTTGCTATCAGAAGATTGCATTACTTCCTTGCTGAAGTAATCCTTGTCAGCTTTTACAAGTTGATATTTATAAAGAAATTTAACGTAATCTTGAAATTGCCAAGCATTGAAGCACTTCTCTATGCAGCAAAATATGTTTCGAATTGATTTATAATACGACTTCACGAAGTTCTCTTCTGCCTGTGGTTAGCCTTTAGTTAGATCTATCGGAAATACTTTTTAAGAAAAGAAATCTATCATTGCAGGATAGCAAACGAGCAGTCCTTGTATCTAAATAACAATAATGCACAAGTTCGAATACTATTTTCCAGCTAATTATAGAGTAAATAGTCATCAGGAGAACCGATATAAGTATTGCACTAAAAATTGACTGTAGATTCGGTGTAAGACATAAATATTCTTCTTCTTTTTAAATGTTTAGCAGGTCGGCAACAAACGATTCATTGCTTTACAAAAAAGGAAAGTTCTTTGTCTGGGCGTTAGTAAACTTGAAGCTTAGTTTTGGTATATATTTTTAAACCCACCAGTGTAAGATGGGTTGCATACTCATTTTGTTTTTCTCCAAAATATATGTAACATCCAAAAGGAAGCTTTAGACACCCTATAAAGTATATATATTCCTCTGAGTTGGTTTAGCTATGTCTGTCCGTCTATGTGTTGTTAGCACTCTGCAAAAATGAAGATATCGGTTACAAATTTGGAAGAAACATTGGAAGATTCGGCACGCAGGTTGGTATTGAAATGCGCCAAATCGGTCGGGACGAAAGCGCGCAGTGGAGCGCAAACTGAACGCAAAAGAGTTTTTTGATTTTTACTTGTTACCCGAAAATTATAAAAGTTAGAAGGCTGCAACTTTCCACAACTGCTTTACGAGATACACTCTCTCTCTAGGTTCAAAACTGGAACCAATTGGCCATGTCCACGAAAAGTTACGAGTAATTAAATTTTTTTTTTCACTTATTTGAGGTTTTATGCTTATCTATCACGAGGCGAACAAGACCGAATGTTTAAAACTATTTGTTACATTCCTCAAATTAAGATATATTGTCTGCCTAAAATTGGGTTAGTTCTAAAACGGGGCGTGGTAGACACCACAGTGTGGTGGATTAATTTTTTCTCAATAATACCAGAGATACGGGCATCAAATAAAAGAACTTGGAGAGTGGAATGCGAAAAACATAGTGGTGGGTATGCGAGATTCGGCCACTGCCGAATATAACTTTCTCACTTGGTTTCTTATTTTATTATATCTTTATATTTCGGGCTCCGTTTTTCTTTTTTTTTTCTCATATACTAACATTTTTGCCTGCTAAACGTCCCCTAAATCATAGTAGATTTCTATGCTTACTCCTTCGATATCTATTTAAGTTTTGATGAATTTGTGCCTTCCGATAGCAGTAAATGACAGCTCTAGGGCTATTGTGCACCATTACTAATGAATCCGTGCGATTTCTGATTCACTCTCAGTGCAATTCCTACAGAACTTCACTCATCGCAAATATTGTGGTACAAATGATAAATTGGTCTTAGACTATCTCAACTTCTTCTGCTTTAACTTTACTTATATCCAATGTCGACTTACCGTACTATTATATTCGTAGTAATCACGAATTACTATATGGCGGCCTAAAGCTAAAACGTTGCATGGTGGACACAAACTTGCGATACTTTTATACATCAATGTCAACATATAAACAAAGTCTTGGGCCACATAATTATCATCTTCCAGAAACAGAAGGAAGCCTTTGAATAAAATAATAATTCCTTAAACTTTTTTTTAAATATTGGATATCTTCTATATTACCCGTAAAGAATTTTGTGACTTTTAATTGATCGAAGACGTAATTAGCTTTCCACCACCAGTGATGCTTCATTTGAAAACGTTTCTTGTGATTATTATGCCCACGAAACTCCGCATTGTCGCATTTTTGTCTGATTTTGTTGTAAATAAAGAATATGTTATAAAATTTAAACACGCAATGAAAATAAATGTGTATATGCCTCTCTTGAAGCGAGTTGAAAAGTGTGCAAAAATCATGAAGTGTGGCATAGGAGACACAAGACACAAGAAGTTTCTTTTTTCTCTCATCAAAATAAGTCTAACCATCGAGTTGCAGGAATTTTAAGGGACCCATTCAAAACGTGCATGGCTAATGGATAAGAACGAGGTCAGACCTCTGTAAACATGAAAAATATTGTCGTTTACGGTTTCTTTTCTTAGCGTAAATAGTCTCAAAAAGTATAACGAAAAATGAAATATTTTTAAAACATTTTAATCTGACGCGATAAAATTTCTTCTGTAATGGTAAAGACAGTAAATATCTTTCTTTATATATGGGAGATATGGGGTGTTTGAATTCGCTAGCGCGAGTAACGGAAGCTTCAAAACGGAATTTGCATCATTTCGATATCTAGCGCTTTTCAGTCATATCCTCTTAGTTACTATTTTTCGTGCAAGCGATGGTAAATATAGGTAAGTGTGGACAATAGTTTCTGGCAATTCCAGAATTTCAATTAATAAGAAGAAAATGCTCGCATTACCTATCGCTTGCGTTGGGAACAGCAAATACGATCAGACTTTCAAATTAAGTACAAATTAGTACGTGTTTTCATTCTCTCTCTATATATATGCGAACTCAGATAACCAATGATTGCGGCAAGTTTCAGCTGCGTACATTTCTCTTCAGCAATTGCTTGTGTGGTTCATTAGCTTCGGGATTTTGCTACGGATTAAGAACGCGAGGAGTTTTTTAAACGCGTTGCCTATTAAACACAATTTGCTAAGACTTACTGCACTGCGCGTGATAAATTCCGAATAAAATCCACATTTGGAATGCATATCGTGTCACATAAACTATATTCAACTATATTGAATAGTAAAGATAAAATTCTTTCGGTATTATAATATGTCAGTGTGTACAAAAATATCAATAAATTTCAAATTTTAACTTTTGAGAGTTGTGGTACTCTAAAGAATTCGTAATATCTTCTAAATGTTAATACAAACTGGACCGATTCCCAAAAACTCGCTTCATGCTCTAAAAGCTTTCATTAGAGTTTTGAGTTTACTTTAGAATTTGCGAAATAACTAATACTTACGGGCTTTCTCCAGCCTCCTGTAGACATTTCGGATGCGAGTGTACAGGATAAGGATAAAATATCTGAAATTGAAAATAATTATGTAAAAAATAAAAGAGCGAGCGACATTAGCTTGACTCTTACCTGCATAACCTTACAAAACTTTATACTTTTCACTAAATCGTTGATATCTTCATCGTAATAATCATGGGAAAAAATCAGAAGAACTCTTTCAATTGCAAACGCCTTTGGTAGGCTCCCAATTAAATAGCTTAGATATGTAACACGCGTATGAACCTTTAAAGAAATACCAACGAAGGTCTATAACGAAATCTTAAGCGGAACAATGAGCATTTCATCTTACTTGTACTACGATTATCAAAGAATCATTTGCTAAGGGATCGAATAAATCTTCATTGAAAATGGTCGCCATATCATTGCGTTCGACAAGCCCTTCGTCCACATTCAAAAAACCCGGAGAATTATCTGTATCCACTGAATCACTTGTTGGTTCCGTTACCATGTGGTCACCGTAATCATCTGAAGAGCAAGAGCAAGCTTAAGAATACAAAGTTAGTCAACTCTAAATCGAAAAGGCTTCAGAGTTTACTCAAGCTACTTACGGAATAATATCCAAATTAAAAATGTCAACACAGCCGTAAAAGTCATTCTACACTTACGATCTGTTGACCTGGTACTAGATAATGATGCGAACATACCGTGATCTGAATAGAACCAAAGAGAAGACGAATATTTTTTGTCCTATAATAACCTTGAACGTACGCTTGCATGTCCAGTTAAAAAAAGGTTTTTAACTACGTACTACTAGCATTATGGGCCTTTAACTAACTAACGTCTACCAGTCCGCTTTCTACCAATTATTGGAGACATTAGTCCAGTTTTATTGCGGTCGCGCATCTTTAGCTAATACATCGAATAAAGGCATTCATCGGCAAATGTTCCTATTATTGAAAACCGACTAAAGAAAACAATTCCTTAATAAAAAAAAGAGTTCTTTTCCCGTAAGTGTAAGACGTAAAATTGCTTGGACTGTTCTAATTTTTAAATAACTCTTTTTGTTATTTCCAGAATTGCTTTATAAATGTCATTATGGAACATTTGTAGCGAGATTTAGATCACCACCCGTTATGAGTAACAATTTCATGCATAAAAGCATTTTATAAATAGGCCACGTCTCCATTTTCACTGAAATTTTAAAATTCTCGCAAATATGCTAAGTTTCAGACCAACATCAGATGAAAAAAGCACTTACTTAGGCATACAAAGTTAAATGAACTGATCATACCAAAGATGTAACTCTTTCGTTTCGCTACTTTGAATGTGGCACCAGCAACGATACGGTTGAGAATACACTCACGTACTCAAATTGACACGCTACCTACCAATATGCTTATCCTCCATTAGCGATCCAACTTTATTGTGGATGGAGGCAGATAGATAAATTTCATCGTACTCAGATCTACTTATGTTTTTATGTTAGCTACGAATTCATTTAGGTTTCCTAACCGTCAAAATTTTTTTGCGGATTTAATTATAGAAAAATTTTTATTTCTGAAGTTTAGACAGACAGCGCCTGCTTTGACTGTTGACTGAAATGTATTCGAGCGTGTTTGTATTCACTTTCCGTATATTAAGTGCACTAGACAATTCTGGCTAAAGCGGTTTAAAAGCATACTATTCTTTATAGGGATTGGGACTCGGCGTTCACCACACATACCTTTCTTTCAAATATCACTCTTTCAAATTAAATTGCACTTCGTTTTAAAGCTGATCTCGGAAAACAGAAAATAAGCGAAAAACTCTTCCGTACGGACTACGAGCACGTACTTGGAGCAATTGTGTTGCGCACTTAATGTATCTTCAAAAGTTTGGTTGCTATCTACATTACATTCCCTTGAAAGTAAAACAGCATTTAGCAAAACCGATATTTGTGATGATAAATATCGTCTACGATGCTTTGTTTTTTTAATTGTATTAATAACCTTTGAAAACAGCTTTGCCATCGGCATACGGTTAATTGAAACCATATAATATAATACTTATATACTACATATATACATGTATATATGTGTACATTAGCATTTTGTCAAAGATAATACCTAGAAGACAAAAGTGTTTTTCAAAAGGAGTCTGCAGAGTCGCATAAGTTTGGCGATAATGACTAAATCAAGGTGACACTTCTTAGAAAGATAAAAAATAAAAGTTTTGACGTTTGTAAACACAATGGAACTCGTAGTGTTTTAAAAATTTCATCTTGAATAAGAGGAATAAAAAAAATTCGCGGTGGTTTACGACAAAGAGGACGTTGTAGACGCGCCGCACTCACGTCGGCTAATTGTGAATAACGTTCGTGAAATTCTTCAAAAAATTGTGGACGACGGGCACATGCCATCCTATGATAACGCACCGATTTTCCACATGCGAATTGCTACTGACACGAAAGCAAATCGGGTCGCCTAAAATTAAAAAATTACAAAACAAAGACTGTCGCACTTGTTAAGCAGAAGAACGATGGCGATGGTGACGGTTATCATCCAGAAGGGGAATTAAGTCAATATACCGATTTTGGACAATAGGGATATGCATTCGCCGCCCAAGACATATCTGCACCTCTTCAAACATTAGAAACAAGGACGAATCTTATTAATCAAAAATTCGTTGTAAGAAAACGCGATGAACCTTTGTGTTTCTTCATTCATCGTTAAATTCTTCGGACACCTCCCATGCAATGGTAGACGGAAAGTTAAACCTACGTGATGTACATCTACTAAAGTTAACATTCATGTCAAACAAATAAATAATTACGCGAAAGATTTTACTCTAACTATACTAAAAATGAGCGTTTGTTGTCATGACAAGAGTACCGAAAACTGGATTCGTTTATAGACTTGAAACTATTGATTATGAATTATTGCTACTGGTTATGACTGATTACTGCATTGCGTTATATAGATGAATCTCGACCAATGAAAACAATTTCGATTATGTCGGAAATGTCACCGAATTAACTTTAAATTCGTCTTCACATCTCTAAAGCTTTTTAAAAGACGTTTTCCAAAGATACTTCTTTTAGAAAATAGGTTATATTTGTGATTCATTTTATTTAATAAATAAAAACATATAATATTTTATAACTTAGTTGTATTTGGTTTGCTAGGCTTAGCTTAGTTTTTTTTTTTTTTAATTTTCTTTTAAGAAAATGTTTCTTCATTCGCTTACTTATTTAAGAAAGACATTATAAATAGATTGAAATAACAATAATAATAATAGCAATAGTAATAATACAATAATATTACTAGAGATTGAAATTGTGCATTAAAATTTAACTAAAGTTTTGCTAGAGATTTGGTAAAAATAGTAACAAAAGCTTTGGAAATTTTTCTAATACGTCGACTATTAGTCCTATTATTTTTGACATGACTGCCTGGCTAATGTAGCAAGTCGGCAACGTATTGCAATGTTGCAGCATGAATTTTCCCGGGGCCGATTTCTATTCTTTATCTCAAGTTGGTCCCGGAAAACTTGCCGTTAATTCGGTTGATGAAACATATATCAATAAAGGTAAGAGAAATAAAATTTACCAAACTGGCAGTTCATAGGCAAATTATCTGCTAAGCTTCCTAATGATTTGGAAACCAGTTCATAGATGACCGCTAGCTTTATCAGTAGAAATAGAAATGTAGAAAATAAATATTATACCATGAATTTCAAAATTTCCGTTACTTTTTGATCAAACCTTGCCTTATATTATTAAATAAATAATTATTTTTGTGAATCAATAATTTTTCTTCCCTAATTTTTTTGTTTTCCACATTCGCTTCTTATCGAAATTCATCTAACTGGTAAGGTCATGTTCATGCAAAGTTCATGATCTCGTTTGTCACCCCAACCGCCATTGCCCTTACGTAATTTGGTTTTCTTGATTAGACTTGCCACGGTAAGTGTTAGCGTTCGAGGGAACATTTGACCTGATTTACGAGCAATACGCAATACTTGTTGAACTTTTGAGATCACTTGGTTCGATTCGCAATTTTTCTTTTTATGATGTACGCCACTATTAAAATAATATATTTAAGGAACGCAAGTAATAACATCATATGCATTTTTGTTAAATGTATTTGTACCATTCTCCTATGTGAAAGACTCGTGGTCCCTTAACAATCATGGCATGTAACTTTCGTCGCAGACATTGCTGCGACACGTGCTGTAACGACCAGTCCCAGTTGTAATCGTCATAGGAGCAAAAATGCTTGGCACATTTTCGTATACTATTCCAAGTTGTCCGATTAAAAGCAAATCCCATATTATGTTTACTGCTTATCCACGGCATTACTTCCACCTGTTAAGTAACGCAATGAAATCATAACATTTTATTTTTGAATTTTATTCGAACAGAATTTTGAAAGCATTTACTAAACTTTAATCAGATTTAATAAAAATTACTTTGATTTGAAACCAAAAAAAAAAAAGAACAAATAAGGAGTAAATGGAAATCAATATCTTTTAATTAAGAAAATGGGGCGAGGGTTCGTACACTAAAAGTAAAAAATGCTACAATGCAAATTTAAGATAGCAACGGTATTAGGTAATTTAAAATAAATATATATGAGTTTGAAAAGATATTTGGCATAAAAATCTAGGACAAATAACGAAACGCAATAACGAAATGGAAAAAAAGTGGAAGCGTCAGGGGCTGGTTCACGGGACTCGGTATCGTATACGAACTCGATTGTTGCGCACATCATCAGGATGTGAATAGGATGCAAATAAATGCATAGAAGAAGAAGAAGATAAAACAACAATCCAAGTAAATTATTTTATGGCATCAGAGGATAGAAAGCATCGACAATAACTTGACTTGATTGACTATGCCAACAAGTTGTCTTTATATCTATTGACAGCATTAAATGTTTTACTTTCTTTTCCTTTTGAAAATGCTACTCGACAGCAACCTTATGATCGAGAAATTTTCAGCTCCTGCTTAATAAAAATGCCGGTAAACTCGTTATTTAATGCATCGACTTGATGATCGAGTGCTATAAATCCGTGCGCAAAAGTTACGATCGAGTTTACTCGACATCGAGTCCCATAAAATGGACTGTTTTTTTTTTATTATTCAATGCGTCCATCGCCTTTCACAAGATATTTTCATACTGAAAAGTGTCAGATGGAAATCAAGTCTGAATCCAATTAGTTTTTTAATTCATTTATATGTCAAATAGTCGAAGAAGAGTGAGTTGACTATGTTATTCAGTTGGAAAATATGTTAGAAAAGCCCTCAGTTAAACGGCAAGTCGCTAAAACAACTCTCAGAGCTTAAAGAGCTGAAGCTAAAGCTTTGTGCTTCTATTAGTAAGCTAATGGATGGACATAACCGCGTAAAGATCCTTGTAGGGGATAGAAGAAAAGAGAAATATTCATTACAATATCAGCCACAGCCAACGAACAGAAACGTTCCATTTCTATCGTTCAATGTGCTGGATTAATACATTTTCCGAAGAGAAAAGAAATTGATACGCAATGGATATCCAAAACTCCCTTTAAGGTGAGTAGTAACGTTGTACTAATTTTATTACACTCTGGACCATCTGTAATACAAGGTTATGTTACGCTTGTGCGGATGTATGTAGTAGTCAAGAGGACTTGACATAGACCCATCATCTTTTATTATATCGTCTGTCTGTCCGCCGGCATGTCATGTTTTTTCGTGTTTTCCGTACATGACGCAATTTCTGGGATGTTTTGATGAAATCTGGTACGCTTAAATGTTTTGGCCCAAGGACGAACGCTATTGAATATGGCTCCCATCTGACCACTTTTTCAGCGACTTCCTATATAAAACCTTATTTTGAAAAGTCATTATATGAATCACTGTGCTGGCTCTCCATAGTGTTTCTACTTGTCTTTTATATGAATTTTAGAGATTCTAATGATTTCTATTTTTTTTTTTCTTTTTTTTTTTTTTTGGAAACTATTTCGAGAGCAGAAAGTTTATAACTTTGCTATTAATAACTATATGGTTTTCATAAAATTTTTAATGTGCTTCTTTTTTCTTGCATTTAAGAAAACATTCAGTTTCACATTTTTGTTAGTTTTCTACCTTTTAGGCTTTAGGCCAATCAAATAATCTGAACAAGTTTTGATGAGAAATTGACTCGTGCGTTGTGAGAAATTCCAGACTTGTTTTTATTTTTAAGTGCTTCGATTAATAACTGTATAGACTATGTGTGTTCACATTGCTTTTCTTTGTATTTATAAATCATATTTATTTATGAACTAAATAAACTAAACTAAATTAGTTAATATCTCAGTATAATATAATGTAACTAATTCGCTTATCTCTTAATCGCGCAATTAATGTTGTCTGCAAAATTTATGACTAATAATAGAAAATCGATATATACCTCCCTGATTAGATTGTTGTTTGTAGCAGTCGGAGTTTCTTTTGACAATTTTGACATGCGATACACAATCTGTATATAAAACATTAAAGATACGTACACACATATGCATATAAACAGCAATTACTATTAAATGTAAAGTGTAAGGCAAATGATTATACGTACGATGTATGTAAAGCATATTTAAATGAACCCAAATGCATTGAAAAATTCATCAAAATTAAAAACCATGCATTCACATACATTTACAACAACAACAACAACAACAACAACAGCACGCAAAACTAAGTGATATGATTAGAGAGAGAAAAGAAAAACAGAGAAAGCAAAATAAAAAGCTAAGAAATAATGTTGAAAATTTTATATTGCTCACGTATCAGTCGGACAGACGTTTTATTATGACTTAATACGTATGAAAATATCAAACCTTGCTCGATTCTAATTGCTATCTCAAATATGTATGTCGACCTCTTTACCATACCATTCCATTTCCGTAAGAACATTTATATGAGAGAGCGCTCAAAAAATTGCCCCAGCCGGTCCAAAGTTTTCACACTAATTTGGAATGCCGAAATACTACTACTTAGCCACAAATTGCATATGGAAAAAAGCGGACCGACCTTGCCCATTTTCAACAGCTTTCGTCGTTGAGCCAAAGTATGTGTGCGTACCAAGTCTCATCAAAATATCTCGAAATTGCGGCCTGTACACAAGCATGACTTGAACATAAGCATGCATGGACAGACATCACACGGACAGACACACAGGCAGGCTCAGATCGATTTCGAAAATTATTCTGAATCGACCTGTATAATAAAACGTACATTTGTGTCTAGCCCTTCTGGGTGTTATATAAGTCCGCGCCAATTTAATACACCCTGCGCGACAAGTGCTGTAGGGTACAAATAATTATCCAACTGCCAAGGCCTACACATTTTGTTTGCTTGCTAGGTTAAGCCATATATTCGAAATGCTCTTCACCTTTTGCCGATAATTTTCTAATGGATGACTTTGTTCGACTATAACATTCTTACTTTATATAGATTCAATCTCGGCAGGAACGGCTATATGGCAAGGGCTTCAAAAATTGCCATACCTGATCCAAAGTTTTCACAGCAATTTCACTTATCAAAACAACGCGTTTTACAGGTAGTGACCGAAAAAGTGCTCTGATGCGAACCATTTTCAATAGCGTTGGCCCTTGTGTCAAAGCACGTTCATCAATATTTCTCAAAAATTGCGACTTGTAGTTCAAACACAAATTTACATTGGACACGCAGAGAGAGGGACAGATCGATTCATAAATTGATTCTGAATAAGTCACTTGCAAAGTTTAAAAGAGTAATTAACAATACTATGCGTTTAAGTGTTTAAAGAAAAACGATTATCCAAAGGTTGCTGCGTAAAGAGGTATGAGGTTTTAAGCACACGTTCGCAATTATAACGCTATGCATTTAAGTTTTAGGAAGTAAAAGGAATCGATCGTTGTAAGATAGAAATTGACTGCATCTCCCATGTAAGTAATAATACTTAACTCGCTTGAAATAATTTTTTTTTTCAAATTAATTGCAGCATAAAAAAATTATGAATAGAATCGAAATACGTACATACACTATTGTAAAAACGAAGAATGAATTTGACATAAAAAAAAAAGGAAGACTTTAATCAAATAATAGAAAAGACTATAGAAAAATTTGCATAAATTTTTAAAAAGCGCTGGATAAAAATAAGAAAAATTAACTTTTTTTGATATCTATTTTAGTTTTATAATGACTTTATACCTTCTGATAGATAGAATACAATGATGGCAGTACATGATAGCTCCATGTTTGCTGTGCCCCATTATTATTGTTATTGTTATTTTTACTTTTAATATTATTGTTATTATTATTATTATTATTATTATTAATATTATTGTTTTTATTAATCGAAGTGCTTTTTGCTGTGGTTGTAGTGGTAGTGGAGGTGGTACTTGTAGTGCTGATATTGATGATGAGAGCTGATGTGCCGAGTGTATTCGTATTCGTATTGATGGTGTTTGTATCACCCACATACACATTGTTGTTGTTATTATTATTATTACGTTTGTTATCATTATTATTATTATTATTGTTATTATTATTATTGCTGTTATCATAATATCTATTAAAATGTTTGTTGCTAGATGATGATTGTTGTGATGATAATTGCAGTGATTTTCTATTCCTATGATATCCTAATAGATTGTTGATAGAGGTCAGCGAAGAAGAAGCATATGGATTACTATATGACTTTTGCTTAGACTGCAAAGTAAAATACGCGCACACACATACACACACACAAACACACGCATATATATACATGTATATATATATATATATATATATACATATATACATATATACATATATACATATACATACATACACACATCCATACATAAAGTGAAGCACACAAAAATGGAAAACGTAAAAAAAGAAAGATTATATTTTATTAAAACATTTACAAGGAACACCGAAATATGTTTATAACGATTATAATGAAAAATGATGACGATGATGGTGTATGTCTATGTATTGTTTATATAGTGTTTATAGACAAGGCAGAAAATTTCAACCAAAAAGGAAAAAATATGTTTTAGTTTAGTTAATACAGCAGCGCACACATTTTTTTTGTTTTTTTTTTTTTTTTCTCTATATGAGCCGTAAAATAATTGAAAAAAAAAAACAAATTAATAAAGAATAAAAAAGAAAAATTCGATTTATTAGCGAAAAGAAATGCAGTAAAATTCTGCTCTTGTTTCTTTCTCAAATCGTCAAAGAACCAATTGATCAAATTGTTTAAGAATGTTGTTGTTTTAATATTATAATAATAATAAACTCTCTGATGTGGATTTTATTCAACTGTATCCGACGACATCGACTTACCTTACTATTGTATGTGTAATAATTAAAAGTTTTCAAATAGGTGCCTAATGATAAAATGTTGCATTGTAGACACAAGTCTATGGTACGTTTATACATCATTTCCAACACATAAAGAAAGTCTTCGGCCACATAATGATCTTCTTCCAGAAACAACACTAAACCTATGAAAATAATAATAATTCATTAAAAATATTGTTTCCATATTTGATTTCTACAATAATATTACCCGTATGGTATCTTGTAATCTCTAATTGATCGAAGACACGATTTGCTTTCCACCACCAATGATGTTTAGTTTGAGTGAACTTTGCTTCACGATAATGTCCGTACAAATCGGGATATAAGGCATTATTGCACTTACGTATAATTGCACTGCAAAAAGGAAAATGTACATTAATCTGAAATGATTGTCCAAATTCTCAAAAGATTGATGGCAATCCTTTGTTAAAATTTCAAAAATGAAATGAATAAAAAAAACGAAAGATTTTATTCCGCTCTTAGAATCGAACTTTCCCTACAAATCACCTTGAACACGTCCATCAACGTAATAAAAGATGAAGGAGGAAAGGGAGATGGAAAGTGTGTTTGTTATCGCTACGGGAATCATAGGAGTTTTACGAAAACTGCATTTAACATATTTACCCTAAACACCAACAAAAGAAGTCAGAACCTATAAAATATTATACTTTCTTGGGTTATGTAAATAAACCCAAACAAATCGTGAAAACATCGTCACGCAACAGAGTTTCTTCCGTGACACTTATTACACTTTTCCATATCAGAGGCATCGATTGGCCGAATAAAACATGTTCTTACAAATTACAACGAAATGTGGACACCAGAACAGAGCTTGAACGTTGAATTTTCTGCAATCTTTCTCCATCCAGAACTTTTTAATGATTCCTACACCCATCGTCAATACTCCAATGCGTGGAATACTCCAATTCTTCCTTTGCTTCTTGTATCGAAAAATGAATAACCTTTTTAGATGTCACAGCCGGCTTGGTAGTATACGTATGTCCGTCATCCCATTTCTCGTTTTTCTTCAGAAGTTTAAGGGCAAAAATTGAAGTGAAAACCTTGTACACGTTTTCGTAGCTGATAGCGAAAGACCAATTTTAGAAGTGAGTGTCTATGCCGATCCAAATATTTCTTATGACTAGTCAAATGAAAATTAACTGTAGGTGTAGGACCCATAGACAGGCGACAATTAATGGAAAAAATTAAAGCAATTTCCTCAGGTCACTTACACGGCGAGAGTGTTAAGCTCTTGAAAACGACAGATGGTTTACCTGCCGGTGTTCCTTAACTAAAAGCGCAAATTAAGGAGTAGATAAAAATGAAAATTTATTAGAAGAATGGGCAAGAGGGTTACTCAATTAAGAACGGAATAACCCCTAGGATCCGTGACGTGTTGCAAAAGATTTACAAACAAAGAATGCCGTGCTCTTAATGCTCTTAAGGCGATAGACTTGAATGGTGGCTTTCAAGCAGTTGCGAGTTTATCTTCTTCGGAGTTAAGAAGAAACCGTAACTAATACTTACTGATCTTTTTTAATGTCCCGTGGACAGTCATTGGGATCGATGCCAGGAAATTCATTTGGATGCGTTTGTATAGAATAAGGATAAAATATCTGAAATTGAAAGCAATTATGTGAAATGTGTTGCGTAAAAGGGGAGAAATATAACGGTGCATAACTTACTTGCATAACCTTACAAAAATCTATAGTCTGCACTAAATCGTTGATATCTTCGTCATAATAGTCATGAGAAAATATTAGAAGAACTCTTGAAATATCATGAGCCTGAGCGAGACTCACAATTAAATGGCGTAGGTATGTAATACGAGTGTGAACCTTTAAAAGGAACGGTGAACAATGAACAATGAAATTCTTTATTGAAATCCTTAAGTGTAAGTGTAATGAGGATTATTTCTCTTACTTGTACTACGATTATCACAGAATCATTTTGTAACGGACCAAATGTGTATTCATTTAAAACTAATTGCATATCATTGTATTTGGCAATTTGTCGATTAATTTCCGTTATATTTGGCGGATGATAAAGATCCACAAAATTAAGAGCACCAATTAAATTAGAACCGTTATGTAGCACTATAAACGAGAAAGTAATTAGAATTTATTTCTTTATGAAATTAATTAAACTCAAATGTCAAATGATTTAATACGAACAGTTAGAGAGCAAGGTTTGATTACGAGTTTTGGGTGTAAGAAATTTATGTAATACCGATGGCACCATAGACATAATAGCATCGACTGAATCATTTGTTGGTTCCATTAATACGGAATCATGATTATCATCTAAAGGACATAAGAAAGAAGAATTGGTAAATTTTTACCACTAAAAATTAAATTGCTATATATATGTATATATATAGATGTTGTTACTTACAAAAGGTAAAAATCTGCAATTTCAAAAATAAAAATATCAATATCGCCATAAAAATAATTCCGCGCATATAATATGTATTACGTTTACGATACATTGACCCAGTATTGGGTAATGGTATGAGTATACGACGACCTATAAGAAAGAGAAGAAATAAAAAGTAGAACTTGTAGCGGATGGTTGCATAGCCCGTTTAAAATTATTTAACTTTGCTTACCTCTCATGCTATAGGCGTTTTGATCATTTAATGCCTATTAGCTCGTTTTTTAACACTTATTAAAGGCGCTTGTTCCATTTTGGTCTGCCGGTGCTTAGTTAATTAAATGTGTCGTAAAAACATTGATCGGCTCACGTTCCTATAAATTTACGTCGACGAAAATATCTTTGCGTACAATTGTGCAATAAGAGAATTTTTTTTTTTTTATTTATTTTTTCTTTAAATATAAAATTAAATATATATAATTATGAATTATGATTTACTGATAGCTTTCAAATTATTTGAAATATAAATGAATCGTTCAGTAATAAACACAAAATTGTTGCTTATATTTGTAGGAAAATTGAAGACAAAAAGCTCTTATAATTATGGTGTAAATATGGGAAATCTTTCCCCTATCCGCTATTCACAAGACCAGAGGAAAACAAAAATAAATGTGAATTTCGATAATATTAGCGAAAATTGGTTTTTTAGGAGCTGGCGCGACCGGACAACTAAAATAAAAAAGGTATGCTTTCAATGTGAAAGACCACAAGCGAACACATTAGACTTCATTTAAATAATTTTTTGATCAAGCCTGCTCTGTACTGACTATGTTTTGAATGCGCCTAAGACATGTTTATACTAACGGACGACATTCACTCTCGACATGTTCCCCGAGTTTGAAGCCAGTCGTCATGGCAATTTGCAAATGTGGTTTGACGCCAATAACTAAAAGATATATGGAAAAGTGAATCAATCCTTTTTGGATGCCTATGAGCGTAAAACTGCCTGATACATTGAGCTTTAGATACACAGAAGACCAGACCAGATTGATCAGGCAAGTATTACGTATATATGTATACATATATATTTATATATACATGTAAATGTATTAGGTGCTTGCAAAAATATTTCCTCTTTTTTCACTTGAAAAAGGTATTTATTGAGCACAATTGGTTCAATGCATATTAATCAATATATGTTCTATCATGTTCTACAACTTTTTCCCACTTTTCTGGAATCGCGTGCCAGCCAAACCATGCTATATCGATCTGAGCAAGTGAATAAGAAATTCTTCTTTCGATTCATTTCGTATTTTTGTATGCAGAAAAAAAATGTTGAGAAATTGCGAAAAATGTGTTATATGCAGGAAGAATATTGTAAACGAAAGTATTTCATGAAATTTCTGATCTTGTGCATTTTCCTCGCTGTGATCGACAAAATATTACTTATGCGGGTCAAATCACGGCCTAAATCGAATCCAAACTAATACAGCAACTACATATAATCAATTCAGAGTAATTTCGCTTTTAGTATGTAGTAGGTCATCAGTCATCTGCTTTTAATAACAGAAACAGCATAAGATAACTAATGCCAAATTATGAGCAAACAAGCTCAATACTTTTTAGAGTACTTACATTATTCTTACATTATCAAGCATTTTGATCACTTTTCGTACGTAATGTCATAATATACCAATTTTCAATATTATATAATAATATTAAGCGGCTTAGCTTAAGCGAAAAAAATTGTCGCAAACTTATCGCTCGCTAGTTAGTATCTTGTATTGAGTTTCGTTCAAAGCAATCTTAATCTTTTACGTGCAGGTATTTTCGCATATCCAGCACTTGTGAAAAAAATTGAAAAAGAAAACAAAATGAAAGTAAAAAATACTTATAAAACACACTCTGTATTCGATGAATGTACATATTCGCTAATATTTTTATTTTTTATTCAGTGTTCGCAATATATTCTATGTCAAGTTGTCAGTCCCAAATAATATATAAAAACTGGCTTAAGAAATTGTAAACGTTGTTGCGCCCACTAAAAGTAGCTTGGTGGTCTATTCATCCGGTCGAAACGTTTGCAACGTTTGTTAAATGATTACTTCATAGACTCCTTGAACTGTAAACACAGTCTCGATCAGTGTCAAGTTTTGAAACGATTTTATCATGTACACAAGATACAGATCTTGTAAGCCCTCTTTTGATATTACATTCAATTTTAGGGAAAACCTTTGACAGACCTCGGATTTTTGGCATTAATCATAAATTACAATAGATGCCGCAACAAATGTTTCCCCATATATTCCATACGTGTCCCAAAGGAAAAATAAAAAATCATCCACGCCCATCGCCCAATTTAGAGACTAATCGGTTTTTCATTTTTTTTAAACAAATGTGTTGTGGATACAAAAGATTCAGCCACAGTCGAATATAATTTTCTTGCTTGTTAGATTTTTCTTTCTTGAGCCAGCTTTAAATCAACCTTAAGTGGTATTATTTGCTAATCTTTCTTGACTTTCAAACTGCTATTAAATGCTACATACTACTAGATAGGTATTCGCAATTGAACACTTACATGAAATGTGTAAAAATAGCAGGATGAAATGTTATTTTGGAGATTAAAATGAATTCGTAAGTAGTTTCACTTAACAACGGAAATTTTTTTTTCTTTATATCTATTCATAATTCACTATCGGATGAAAGGTCGTACACAAAGAGGCCATCACTTCGTTTAAAAAATACGTATGCATACGCATCAAAAAAGCAAATATACTTCTGGTCGTCGTTGTCGCATTTTAAGTAGACTGACCATGTCCGTCCGAAAGTGTTCGTATTTGTTTACTTTTTTCCCTTTTTTACTAAAAATGAAATAAAAAATAAGATAACAATCGAATTAAATAATAACTAAATAAAGCTTAAAGTAATCAAAAGTAACAGAAAAAATTTTCCAGAAATAGATAAAGATATGAATAACAAAAAAAATAATAAGAAAAATATATCTATGTGTATCCAATGCCTTTAAATTAGACAAAGGAAAAACTTCGTAGCGGTTTTTTGTCTTTTTTGGTCAAAATTTAAAAACTTTCACTGACTACCTTTCATCGTCAAAAACCATCTAAGGGAAAATAATAATTTTTAGGTTATACACAGGACTGCTAAGAAGAATTACTAAGGCTGGTCCGGTTTTATTCACCTGAATGCTTTTCTTCCTGGAGTTAGCAGTTAACATTATTATAACTTGAAAAGATGGACTTATTTGCTGCCATCCAAAAAAAGTACATTTCTTGGATCGTCAATAGACCTTTGCCGAATGTGCTTGGCAGACTGAAGCGCATGTAGTTCAAGCGTCAGAAATCTTCTCATATTTATGTAAAATATCGTTTTTTGTCTTCGCGTTTCGATCCCCTTTTACAAATACAGAAATATATTTAAATATTACTTCAATTTAATTACAATACTTCCGCTTGAGCTATCAAATCTTCCAGAATTGAAATGCAAGTTAATGATTCCTATCTTTTTCAGCCCATCGCCAACGGTTGATATTGTGCTACTTTTGCCATCCGTTTATAACATCTAGAAACTTTCCAGCCTCCACACTTTTTGAATGTACGTCTATATATAGATATGTAATAGATTGTTGAGTAGATTTCAAGTCGTTTAGGCATCGCCCATCGTTTATTTTATGGGCTTATGGTGGGTTACGTAAAGTTGCAAATATTGCAAAAGAAACCGGGATCTATTGCATCTGCAACGTTTTAAGCTACAAAGAAACTTAACACATACCGCTTCCCACATGCTTCAATATTCAATTTTCATGAGCAACCTGATATCGACCGAATACAATATACAGCCGCGTTATAAATACTGCTTCCAGGTATCATCCATAGTAAATGTAGGTTTTCTACGCGCTTTTTTGTTCGTTTCATCGTTTTGAACAAAAAAATAGTTTCAAATATCGATTTATTAAGTTCTCTTCACCTTCACGGTTAGGACATATTTTATTTGCTATGCATTACGTTTCCAATTTATAAGCAAACCAATCCTTACATTACGTGGACGTTCTAAGCTGAATACACGTTTACACAGAAGTAATAGTCGGACGATAAGTTTGAACATTTTTTCTGAAAAAACTCTCTCCTCTTTTTAGATTTTTGGAGAAAAGTGTCATAAGTAGCACTAAAGTGACAGTGACCAATCCAAATAAGATTGTGTTAAAGCTTAAGAAACAACATAAAAGACATGTATCGATTAGTTAAAGAGGAATGTTGCTTGGATTGAATCAATTTTGAACATATCAAATATCAATTTAAGCGGATAAAGCTAGATGATCAAACTATACACCAGTTTGCTAAATATCGACACTCATTCATTTTCGTGATAGCACATTAAAAATTATATATTATTTTAAGGTGAAGACGTAATATTCATGAAAGCCTTCATCTTTTCTAAGGGGTTCCAGAAATATCAAATCACGTGGTCCAAATTAAAGAAATTCAATTTACTTCTCAACGGTTTTAGTAATTTCTACACTACAAATTTCTACAATTACAAATTCGGTACATTTTCATGAGAGCTCTTTGATATGAGTAAGTCTAAGTGAAAAATCTATTTGATCCAATTTGAACCAATACTCATTACTTTCGATATTCTTGCAATATAAGGGCCTATCTACCATGAAGAACTTTTTATGAGGTGTGATCCAAACAAAAAAGACTTATGCTCTCCAAATTCTGTAAGATTGTTGCTTATATCAAATTATTATTATGCACGAATTCTCATCAAGAAATATTCAAAATTAGGTCTTTTTACAATGTAAAGGCTTGGTTTCCGTAGCCTTGCTTATATGATTGGGGGTTCAAAAAATTGCCCCGCTCAGGGGATCCTAATTTTCCACACTAATGTAAAGTATCAAAGCGACTATTTTGAGAAGCCGTGTATATGCGGTGTCGTTGACGAAACGGCCCGAGCCAAACTAGTTTCAATAACGTTCGTCCTTAGCTCAAGTTTCTTCAACATATCTCAAAAATTGCGATCTCTAGGTTGAAAACAAAAATACATGGACAGCCAGAAAGATAAATGGACGGATCTATCTCAAGTATTTCTGGATGTTACATCCGTTCGTACAAACTTGATATACCCTGTACCACAAATTGTGTAGGGTACAAAAAGAAATTAACGTACATTCCACTTGCTTACTGTGTCTTTGATGGGGAGCACGTAAACTTCAAATCCCTAATTGATTGAGAATTGAGAAAAGGAAAAGAAAACTGTCACTCGAACCTAGACTTCACGAATGCATATTTAATATGAAAATATATGCAATAATAAAACTAAAGCAAGTTTTTCCAGTGATTTTATTAAAAAGACGAGTTGGATGAGCATGCGAAATGGTAAATAAATGCATGCTACTTTTACTATTACTGTTTGTAATGCAATATGAATACATTTTACTCTGCAGAATAATGCATAACGAGCATGTGTGTCTTCTGACTATATTGTTTTGTTATTGTTATTTACGTTGTATAGTTGTGTGTGAGAATGGCGTCAAGATCATATAAATTATATAAAAAGTACGTTGACACACTTTATCAAAGATAATCGCAAGTTAAGATCTCTCTTCTACGTAATGACCATAATTATACCCCACGCTATTTGTATGCACATATTAACATTGTGGTACGACAAATTTTTCAAACTAAGGGTCTATCACTATAATGAAGCGGACGCTAACGTTTTGTAAGCAATCTTTACGAATGCAGCACTCTGAAATCCCAGTTGTTGATATCCACCCTCTCAAAGCTTTCACGAAATATAAACATCTTAACGTGTTTTTTACCTTTGTTTCTTAACTAACTCTATAGAATATTTATAGCGAGATTCAAACGATGAGTTAACATTTTTTGCATATTATGAGCATTTTTTGTGAATTAATTTTTTCACTTGAGGCTTCAAGATTTTCATAACAGCTTGTACCAAGTTTCAGAACAAGGCAAGTCGCGTGTCCCGTAGCTACTGAAAATGAACTTCAATGCAAAGCGGAACGTGTTCGGAAAATTGCGACAGTACCAGAATCCGAACGACCCACCTCATCATCAAAAAAACACTGCGAAGCACACTTTACTGTAAACACAACATGCGATTCACCCGGGAATTGTACATTACAGATTTTGTTTTATTGGGAGAATTCTTGAAGAATGTCACCTGAGTACTTACAGGCAACTAAGAATGTGTCTGCCTGATTTCAACATGCTGCATTGCCTGGAAAATCGCCTATTAGGGTCTACCATATTTCAACAATCTATTCCAAGTTTTATGATATTATTCGCATTCCACTAGCAAATGAGAATAGAGACGTGGCCGGGCAGGCGGATGAGGTCATATCCATTTAGAACCTTCCGTTGACCAAGAATATCTAGGTTATGAGGCCGATATGCAGACCTTATGCGGATCCTCTTCTGTTTCTGAGCTCTATAAACAGATACATGACAAACTTGGTGTATGGCCCTGCTTAATTGACGAGTTTTAGGATATCACTTTCGTAAATGTCGACGTAAAATATCGCTAGGAATAAAAAAAAATTGGATAGAAATTCTTACATATACTTACTAAAAGTGTATCTCCCTCCTTCCTGCTTCGAGTATAACGTTAATTGCGGCATAGGTGTTGTAGACGTTTACGCTAATCACAGAAAGGTATATTTTTCATTAGGCCAGCATAAGAAAGTTCTAATTCTTCAAGAGTGATAATAAAGTGGAAGCTTTATAGCTTTATTGCGAGGCACATAGACAAATTTTGTAAATAAACTTTGAATTAACTATAAATATTGTTGTGTCGTGGGCAAGTTTATAAGCAGATAACGTCGACTTTTACGGTTGGCTAAAAGCTGAAGCTCTTGGGGTATATGTATATATATATATATACATGTATACATGTATTTATATTTCATAGGAACTATTGCCACAATTACTCTCCTCATATACCTCTCTCTTACATATCCATCTTTCAAATCAATTTGCTTTACTTTTTAGAGGCAACTTAACCCTGAAATTAAATTTAATATTTAAAGAAGAAAAATAAAAAACTCATCCGAATAGACCTCCTGTTTCACCATAGATCTAGGCTTTACAAAAACAAAAAGAGACAAACTTTTACCAACGATTTATTAACATATCGAATCAATTTGTTTAGGCATTCGCAAATATGATTACAAATTTTTTTTTATTACTATTCAAAAACAAGTGCCCCGGCTTTTCATTAAATACCCTACCTACCTACCTACTTCTAGAGTTATTCAAATATATACAAAAAGTGTATATATAATACAAAGTGTTATATGGGAGATGGTCGAAAAATTGGTCCGCTCCGAACCATTTTCAAAACCTTTGGCCCTTAGGCGAAAACATATCAGTGTACCCAGCTTTAATGAATTAATTCAAAAATTACGAACAACGAGAGAGCACAGGATGATCAGACGGACACACAGATTTAGATCGATTCGAGATCAATAGTTTATCTCAAGTCCTTCCAAATGTGTATACATCCTCACAAACATAACGTTACATAAATAGTGCAGTCCTTGCCCTTGGCTCTAATACATCGTATCTCAATTGTTAACCGATTGAGGTCAAATTTTACCTTTAATTCTATATAACCTTGGTTAGAGAAACCTGTACCGTTACCCATCAATAAACTAAGGCAATTTGACTTTTTGCAAATATATTTATACGAAAATTGGATTAATTTCAATGGAGAGCTCTTTTTAAATATTTAATAAGCGATCTTTTACGGATTCCTATATAAGCAAAACTTTCCGGAAAATCGATAGACATAATAGGAAATTGAAAACTCAAATGTCACT